ACAATATATAAATAAACAAAGGAAAGGAAAGCACTATGTATAAACTATTCGACCTACAATTTATGTATTGAACACGCATAATATACATTCCATTCAATTAAAATAAATATTTGAAAGGGTAATACATGGTTAAGCCTTAAAGTCTAGTGAACAAAAATACCAAATCATAGTAATAATATATGGGGTGTATGTGTTGGGGTGGTGAGGGGTGACTTTTCGATTAATACGATACATTTGCTCAGTTACGTAGAACTCTTACTTATTTCTCTGGCGTTTCTTGTCAGAAAGTTGTGAAACTTATTGTAATTATTCGACTTCCGAACACTGAATCTATTGACTTATAATACTTATAACTTTTTGATGTGGTTGTGTTCTCTGAGCTAAGTGGATATTTGATTTGCGAAGCTTTCATCGCCCCACTTACTAGGCGATATCCTCCTTGAGCGCATACTTCAATTCAAATTGAAGTGAGCTTTTAAATTTCTCCACGAGTGTTTAATCATCTCCCCTAGTGGGTGACCTTGGACGTGACCTTGGTTGTTTTTGTGTGTGTTTTCACACCTTCTAGGTTACTTGTGATACTGGAACTGATTGTTTCTTCAATTTGAAGGATATCTCAGAAAGCTTTGCAAACAAACCATCCAGTCCAGAGAACAACACAACATCAAAGAAAACACCTCTATCTATTATCTGTCTTTTGAATCTCTCTTTACTCTCTTCTCTTGCTTTGTGTGCTATGTGGAGTGTGGTAACTCGTACTGCTGCACAGCTGTGAGAAGTCCTGAGCTGAAACCAGTCAGTTAGTCTTGTGAATTGAATTACCTTCTAGTGTAACAACAGAAGACAAGGGCCAGGCAACCGATCCTTTTATTATGAAAATCAACACGTATTTATACATCTTTCAACTACATTATTATAGACAAGCGCAGTCATCTGATTGGTTGTTTAGGTAGACAAACGCAGGCTTCTGATTGGTTGTTTCGGGATTCCTTGACAAATAGAGTTCTCTCTGCGAATCATATTCTGCCACGTTAACTTTGCTGTGATTGGTTGTTGACTCAGGCTTGTTCATATTTTCTCACGGCCCATATTAGTGACCTAGACCTTAACGTAGATTAGTGCCAACCAATCGGCTAGCAGCCTGCTCTCACCACACTCGTCCCCCCGTCAAATACGTGCGACTGAAGTCGGCTTGATCTACTTGGTGCAGGCGTCATCGTTGGCTTGTCTCGCTGTATCCATTTCTGGAGCTCGCTGACGTTCACGCGCCTCTCATTGTTCGCCATTGCGACTGTGTCTGCGTAACCCCATCTCGAAGTGACCATATATGGTCCTTCCCACTTTGGAAACTGTTTGCCTGACCCTGTCGAACATTCGTCCATACTTCGGCCCACACCTTCATATGCTGCTTTCGCCCGACCTCCCAGCAGCGTCTCAAGTAGCAGCTCCATCGCTGACAGATCTTGAACGCCACTCAACTGCGCAGAAGCCTTGAAGTCCTGCCCGAAGATCCATATGTCTCCATCAAAAACTGCAGGGTATAGGCTTTTCATTTGTCGGTAGGCAGCGACACCAAATGTAACAACAGAAGACAAGGGCCAGGCAACCGATCCTTTTATTATGAAAATCAACACGTATTTATACATCTTTCAACTACATTATTATAGACAAGCGCAGTCATCTGATTGGTTGTTTAGGTAGACAAACGCAGGCTTCTGATTGGTTGTTTCGGGATTCCTTGACAAATAGAGTTCTCTCTGCGAATCATATTCTGCCACGTTAACTTTGCTGTGATTGGTTGTTGACTCAGGCTTGTTCATATTTTCTCACGGCCCATATTAGTGACCTAGACCTTAACGTAGATTAGTGCCAACCAATCGGCTAGCAGCCTGCTCTCACCACACTAGGTTGAAATTCCTTCCACAGGCCGCTGGTTACAACCTCGTCATGATGTAGATTTACATTTCACTTTCGATCATTCTTTAATTGACTGATTTAACTACTCAACTTTTAACCGATGGGTCCCGTGTTCGAATTCCACTCAATCTAATAGACAGTATTAACTGTCGACACATGACACGTGTGGTCAATAGTTGTCTGATCAATGAGAAGCATTTTGCTGATAACTAACTGAGTTATACCAACAACAACAATATCAACTATAATTTCACCCTCCATAGAGTTTAAACATTAAAAGTCCAACCCTTAGACATACATACCCATAAATGACTTGTGAATTCCACTTTCATTATGGATAAGATTTTATTTTGATAAATCACACAGTGTTATACAGTAATATCAACTGATGACCACGTTTAGAGAACAAATTATTACTCAGTCACACAACTTTCTTCCTTCATTTATATACATGAGTGAAATTGATGATTAGACATTTGAATAAAATCAATAAGTTAAGATGAAGTACATTCAGAAATAATAATAATAATATGAGAGTTATTGATCAAGTACAATCAGATGGGAAATAAGACGAGTGTTTTTATAGTCAAAATAAATGAATAACTTGTTAGAATGTTGTGATGTATGTGGATTGAAATAGAATACAATTTAAGATTATTTATTATCCTCCTGTGATCTGACTGACTGATGGTAATAATATCTTCCATATCCTGTGGTATTTGCATTGAATCATTTCTGTTGCATGTGTTGGGTGTGGACTCAATGAACCAGGTAGGATTCAGTAATCAATCTCTCTCTCTCTCCACCAATCTAGATTACATCTTAGAATTTCAACCCTCTCCCACCCCCATATTGTGTGATTGTGTGTTAATGCATGTAGTGCAATGCAGTGCTGAGCTTTTTTCTAAATTACTTATCTTCTCTGGGTCGACCATTCTAACCTTAGCCAAATCCTTATGTTCCGCCAATCTGATTACCTGCGATCTACTAGTTCGACCTTTGTAGTTGACTGAACTCACAGTTTTTAAATCACGAAAAATACCCATTTATTCATAAGTCAAACCAGTGAAGAAACGTATTTCTTTCAACGACTTCATTTTCAAGCTGTACAGTCGTATATATATTACAGAGAAAGGTTATTAAGTGGCACTAAATAATTGCTCAGTCAATATACATATATAAGTGATAAGAATAACGATAATTACAATGTTATAAGGGTTAGAGTTGAAGTGGATAAATTACAAAATTATTAAAGATTTTTTTATAAGTGAATTGATATCAAAAATGTCAAGTGTTGTCCAAAAATTTTGAATATTCGGAGTACGATTACGATAAGAAGTAGTCTATTTGTGATCACCTGTTAGAGTCTGGTCATTTAGCCCCACGTGATTCATCTTATAAAGTTATCTACATGGCAAAATCGAATCGATCCAAAAGTTTACGTTTTCTTCAGTTATGCATAGCCGAAGCTTTAGCTATACATGAACAGAAACCTAAATTATGTGTTCAAAAGCGTTTTGTCAAACCCCTTTCTTTACCTTTATTTATTTTTTATTTATTTATTTGATTACAGCTTGATTTCACACCGTATTTTTGGTACAAGTATGGAATTTTCAGCATGTGGTATCGGTAGCCCAAATTTCGCAGGCCGGTCATAGATATCAGGTGTGAGTCGGCAGGGGATCGAAATTCGGACCATGTGCATGGTCGGCAAGAGTCCTAACCACTGTGCCACCGACGCACCTTGGTCTTAGTAATGTTCTTTCTAGTTTTTATTTTATTTTACCACTTCACTTCTTTCCACTTCACTTCACATCTTCACTCTTATCGTAATCGTACTCCGAATATTCAAAATTTTCGGACAACACTTGACATTTTTGATATCAATTCACTTATAAAAAAATCTTTAATAATTTTGTAATTTATCCACTTCAACTCTAACCCTTATAACATTGTAATTATCGTTATTCTTATCACTTATATATGTATATTGACTGAGCAATTATTTAGTGCCACTTAATAACCTTTCTCTGTAATATATATACGACTGTACAGCTTGAAAATGAAGTCGTTGAAAAGAAATACGTTCCTTTGCTGAACAAAAAAAACTGTGTTTTTACTTATGAGCTCACAGTCATTGCGAGGTATTTTGTAAATTATATTATTTTGTCTAAGTGAAACAACCTACAGGGTCATTTAATCTACAGAACTTGTCCTACCTGAGTGAGTTTGTAGGTTTGAATGACACTATCCTAATTCCTGCTTTATTAAGAATCCTACGTAGAGACGGTCTCAGATGTCCCCTCTATATATGGTACAACTGTAGATGCCTTTTATTCTCTCTTATTTATGTTATCACTACTAGTTTCACAATTATTTTTATTTTTCGTTTGGCCTTTTTCGATCTTCCTAATGAATTTTATGGGATTGTTAGTTATTTAACACCAACGACTCTTCTATCTGTTTTATTTCATCATTCAGGTCTTTTTTGTGCTACTTAGTACTACTGCTTGGTTATTTCGAGAGACATTTAACTAAGCCTGCCTTCACAGACAGATAATGGATGAGATGAATTAAAGTTTGAATATCTATTAACAGAATGCGTTGGTTTTTTATATACACCACTAGTGTGTAGTTTACCTTCTTCTATTCCTTTTTTATTTTACAATCTAACATCATAGCTAATTCTCCTTGTTTAATTTCCGATTGAAATGTGAATTGTATTCCCTCTACTAGAAAGGAAAAAGTGTGAGTGAGAGATTTGATATGATTACGAGCACAAATAATAATTTGTGCTTGAAACGTGTGGTCATCCGTTAATATTACTGTATAACACTACACTGTGTGATTTATTATCAAAATAAAATCTTATCTATAATGGAGTTATACCCTACCGCCACAGTGCCCAAGTTTTAAATACTTATATCAAGAATTCCACTTTCCCCTTCTACTAATTATTTTTTACTGATTCATTAATTGAACCACATTGAACAGAAGAAAACATTAGAGGAAAAGTAGGAGATTCGATGAAGAATGAATGATTTCACGAGCGGGGGGGTGTGACAACAAAAAAAAGTACTTACATCTGCTTGGCGGTGAGGTAAACTATCCTGGTTCCAAGATGTTGACACCGATAGAGATTTCTGTGATCTTTTTTTAATTAGATATTCTTTTAATCTATCCGGTAGAAAATCTCCTTTTGTATCTAAGTATACAATCGAAGTTGTTCTACAGTTGTGAAGAACAGAGGCACATACAGAAAGGCATAGCTGTAAAAGAGAGAAAAAGAAATGTATTAACAAATTGTTATTACATGGAGGATTTATTCATGAGCTGACATCAGTTAGAGAACCACTGAAAAACCTGCCAGGGAGTACTGGACAGCTGTTTCGTCCTAGTTTGGGACTCCTCATCAGTACGCACCCACCAGGGTTCGAACCCAGGAACTTCTGGTTATAACGAGAAGGTCCTGGGTCCGAACCTCGGCGGGTGCGTACTGATGAAGAGTCCCAAACTAGGACGAAACAGTTGTTCAGTACTCCCTGGCAGGTTTTCCAGTGGTTCTCTAACTGATGTCAGCTCATGATGAAATGCTGTAACCAATATTCGGAACTATTAAAATCACTGCTTATCAAACAATTGCATTAAATACACACACACACACACACACACAACTTACTTGAGTCTTACAGGTAGACGATTTTCCGATTACCTCTGTGATTTCACCAGTTTTTAAACCTCTACCACCCAGGAGCTTATCTAAACTGTCATTCAGTGTTTTCAAAAGAAGAAACAACAAGATATGAAATTTAAACAATGTCAGTTATTAAAACTAAGCTGTCAATACATAATTTATTTAAAGTCTAAAGACTGGTGTAAAAGGAGACGGCAAAAGACTTGGCAACAGAATATTTATCTGCAGTATGCTATACACATATAAATATATTAAATATTCCCATAGTAAAATTTAGAACAACACATTTAAGCGAACAATATTGTGCTTTCAATTAGATCTCATCAGGCTGAACTCTAATATACCTACATAAGTTTACAAATAAAAATTCAAATATAAACCAGTCATGGTGTTTTGTCTATAGGATAATAAGGCGCTGAGTATAAATTGTGCAATTAGTCATAATAGTAATAATGATAACAATGACAATAATGGTCTTATCAATAATAAGGATGAAAAAGTGAGGCAATCTGTGATAACACGAATAATGAAAAACAGCATGATTAAACAAACAAATGTTCGGGTATGCGTAGTAGTCGATAAAGGCTAGCAAAAAATGAACCGATTAAGTAATGCTAGATTGTAAGGGAAGTAAATGAAACACGTTTTTAATGAAGATGTGATAAGATCAAGGGATGATACAAAAGGGGTTGAAAATATAAACAAGGGGTGGTGTGGAAGTCTTCAGTTGGTTGTGTTTTAATAGACCCATAAAGGAGGGATAATGGCTGTACGAACTTCTTTTGAATGCATAGTTTAGGTTGAATAGTTCGAATGCCCATCGCCTGTCTCAGCTGTGTGTGCAGTAGACGAATACGAAGTCTATTGCAAAGAATCGGTGGGATACGATGAATTACTTTGAAGACTCTCATTTTCTCGACTACATGACTACTATCCATCAAATGTGACAGAATTGAGCTACGGATTGTTTTCGTCTGTCCTTTGCCAAGCCACCACGATGGGAAATGTACAGTAGTGACATGTTGGCTAGGCTGTCAAGTAGTGGTGTGCCCAACATAACTGTCACTGCAGGTGCAGTTGAATTGATAAATGCACATAGATGTGGCAAAACTATCCAGCTTATCTTCGTTTGCGTCCCAATCATTCGTCGGCTAGAGAATGACTAACATAGGTGTGCTGCGTAAAATGTTCTTCGTATACTCCTTGAAAGTCTTTGGAATAAAATTTCACTTGATAAGTCAGCATTAAATTGTAACTTAATAAAAAGAGGTCTCTTACGTGCAATCAGAGTAATCCCAGTAAAGCAGATGGTTGGATGTGAGGCTATCAACCCATGCCAAAAATGACACCACAGCTACAGAAACTTCAGGGCTGAAGAACCTTGAAGTTCTATGTTCCATTCGAACGCAATGGAATAAAAAAACAGCAGGATACACTTGTCTTTTCTCCAGGTTATTCAGTATGACGTCTTTCTTTATGATTAGGAGATGTAACAGTTGAAAGCGGAAGATATGAAAAGGCTAGAGTCACACTTCCAAATTAAGTGCCTTAATATGTTCAATAGTTATGCGGTTAGATGTAGGGTACTTAGTAATGAGAGGGGGTGAGTCAATCGGTGAGGTTGTGAAGCAATGTTAGCTGACATAGGATTGGGTTGGAAAAGAGTCACGTATGGTGAGACTAAAATATGACACTATTGCTTGATCAAATCTTTGACTGTTGGTGTGAGCCAAGTAGTGAGTCGGTGGGGGTGGATGGGTGTTGTATAGAGTATATGACATGAGTCCTCGAGATACTGAGAACCAATGGCTTCAAAACTGTCAGTGGAATGGCTCAAAATTATTCTCAATGGCACAGATTCCTTCATACTGTATAACATCCCTGACCCACTAAATCCTCATTAATCTCCATGAAATTATGCTTTCATCCAGTAAATTTCTGTTCAATTGAGTTTCTTCAAAAAATTCTCCTTCATCTCTATCACAATGTATGTTTTGTAAGGTATGTAAACTTCAAATCTGTCTGTCTGTCTGTTTTCGAAATAGAACCTTGCACCAATGTGCAGCACTTCAAGTCACCACATTCCCTCCTTGTAGCACACAAAGCAACAGAAGAAAGTAGAAGAAATGCATATTAGAGACAGCAAACAGAGGTGTGAGACAAAGGAATAGTAATAACGAAGAACTATATAGTTTCATTGGAAATCATAGGTCACAGGGAGTGGGTGCACCTGAGTCATTGTGAACGATTTTCAGCCATATCACCAATTGTTTCCAGCCTTCATTGGCTTTTACCGTCCCGAGGACCCCAACCAGGAAGCCGTCTAAACCTTCCTACGTGACTTAAACTAACTATTGTAGATTTCATTGATTGGTGCCATGTTTTGGTTTGACTGCCGCTAGCTCTTTTCCAGGCTGAGCCTATGTCTGCTTACATTGCCCATCAGTCGAGGAAGGCGATGACTAGGCATACGTAACACATGTCCTAACCATCTCAGTCGATGTAATTTCACAGCCTCGTCGATTGATTCCCCCCCCTTAACTAGCACTCGACCGATGCCTCACCTCAATATTGCTCACCGTATTATACCATTTCACACGGGAGATAGAGCGCAGGCACCTATGATCGAAGACAGATAGACAGTCTTTTCATGTCCTCCACTCTCAATGGCCATGTCTTACTCACAGCCATAAAGGAGGACAGAGCAGACTGCTGAGCAGTACACCCGCCCTTTGGTCGATGGCCAGCTGGATATCACGTCTACTAAGCCAGAGACGGCGTAAACTGGCATATGCGAAACTAGCCTTCTGTATCTGTGGTGAGATTTCGTCAGAGATCATCCCATTGGCACTGGTTGAGGCAACTTCCCAAATAAGTGAAGCGGTCAACGTGCTTTACCACTTCACTCCTTGTTTCTAAGATAGGAGTCAATGTAGTCCAGTCCTGTAACATCATCTTAAATTACATTTGGCGGGAGCGAATTGCATGACAAACATTTGTAGATTGCAGCTGATGGTTTTCAAAAGACTCTGCATTTTGTCAGCATCCTCGCATAGAAGGACTATATCATCTGCATATAGTCCTTCTAAACTTCAAATTTCACTTTTGATACAAAGTCGTCCTGTGTAGAAATTTCTGTTCATTTCAACGATAGTAAGATTGAAATTTGAGCATAGTAATCAATTGCATTAATAACGCATAGGTTAAACTTTCCTTAAATTATGTCAACTTAACTTGTCGGTCATAGTGTGATATGTGCTACACATTCATTTACTTACAAGTAGTGTATAACGTAACACCCATCAACACAAAAGGTCAATTAAAAATGCAACGATCTTGAAAGAACCTAACAGGCAACAGAGATAATGATGAACAAAAGAAGACTGATGCGGAATTGATGATAGTGAGGAACTTAATAACTACTATCAAAACGGTTGCTGAGTGAAAACGATTATCCAGAAAAGTTTATTGATAAGCCTATGAATTTGGAATCAAAGCAACCCAAAGAAAGTACCAACAGTTCTTAAAAGGGCAGTATTCTTGCAAATTAAGTTCTTCGGAGACAACATCAACGAGATACTAACAAAACGCCTTAGAAATGCAGCAAAAAGAGCATTCCATGTTGCTGAATTACACCGCGTCTTCAAAACCACTCCTCTGTTGTGTTCGGTAGTAAAAGAGAAACTACTTAATTTCGCCTTTTCCATGTGTATCTACCAATTTAACTGGTCCTGTGGAGTGAGGCAGTTCATTAAATAGGCCGTACAATTAGGCATGTTTAAATTCGGATTTCCGAACATCATCCCACAAACTGACACGTCTCCATTTGTCTTTAGTCTTCTGCTAAACATTTCTGGCCTGGCCTTTACGATTCGTATTGAAAATCCGAATTTATTGTGAGTGACGAAGATTTCCAGATTGATTTCAGGCTGATGAATGTGTTTCTCGCCTTCCCGATTCTCGATTTGATATCCTCGTCCGCTCCTCCTGTAGTTGCGTCCAAAAGAAGTTAGTTCATACATTGTCCATACCCCGCTGGCCATCAAGGTTTGAATGATCGTTAATTCTTGTCAAAATCTCCCTAATTTTAGTTGACATTCTATTTGCTATTATTATTATTATTATTATTATTATTATTATTATTAAAACAATTAGTCCCTTCGATAAATTTGAATAAGGCATTTATAAGACAAGTTTCGTGAGATGATGCTATCAGTTTGTAGTTTCTTTACAACCGCTTCACAACTAGCATGGTTAACTATAATAAAATAAAATAAAGTGCATGACAATTACTCAGTTATATAAAAAACAAAAGTACATACTGATGACCAATCATATTTAAATAGGTCATGCAGTCCATGGTAGGCGAAGGCAGTTGTAAAAAAACTACGAAATGATATCATCTCGTGAAATTTGTCTTCTAAATGCCTTATTCAGAATTATTATTATTATTATAATTTAAGCATCTTTAATCAAATGTAATTCATTGATCTTATTTAACAAATCGATATTATTTAAAAAACACTAATATTGTTATTGACTACTATTCTAGAATATTCTATGTATATAAACATATATATGTATACGTAATTGTAGAGCCAGAAGAGGAAATTATCGAAAGGGGGATATTCTTTGCTCAATTATTTTGTGTTTTATAGATGTCTGAATGAATACCAGATCTATCATCACCTTCACGCTAACCAGTCTCTCTTCTTCACTTTATGTTGCCGTCTTGCTGCCTTCACACTGTCTTCATTAACAACAAGCAAATGTGGTTAGCAAATGCGGTAACACATTAACAGTTAAGTACCAATGACAGTCAAATAACGTGTCATAGATGTTTCGTCCCAGTTCAGGACTCTTTCGTAGTGCGTAGATATAACATTATATGATCATTTACGATATAAGCTTTCTAAGTCACTTATGACAAGTTGTGACCAGGAGTGGAGTCAACAAATCTTGTGCGTAGACAACTATTCAGTAACGATTATTGACTGTCATCTGAACTGATGACGACCAGTGGTGTCCGTCAAGGATGCCCATTATCTCCTTTTCTATTCAACTTCATCA